TGCCCAAGTACATTCAGGAAAATAGGCCATGACGGGCTTAAGATACATTGGCGTTAAACTACTGAGGTTTCAGTTTGCTCATCATGTGATTTTTTATTTTTTTTTTGTCATACATTAGGTAGATAAAAAGACTAAAAGATATTTTTCAATAAAAAATTACAAAATGACTCTTCAAGAGGAGAGCAACATGAAGCCTTACCTATCTGAGTGGGATGATTTGAAATCAGTAACATTATCCTTTGACATGTCACTTTGAAAGGAGACACAGCTTGGATTAAGTTGATCTGCTTTTTTCAACCTGGAATAAAACAATGTGTTTAATACATTTTTGCACTTTTGGAAAAAAAATTGTAAATCGTATTAAAAATAACTAAAATCTGAGATTTTATTTTTAGGCCGTATCGCCTAGCCCTGTTACCATCATTTAAAAACTTAACGGGGAAAAATGTTTTATATCAATGCTGCTGTATTTTCTTTATTACTTTCATTAATAAAAAGCTCCCTGAAAAACGTCAATACTTAGTATATTAGTATAGTATATAGAAACTAAAGAGGAGAACAACATGAAGCCTTACCTATCGAAGAGGGATTTTTTGAAATCAGTAACATTATCCTTTGACATGCCACTTTGAACGGAGACACAGCTTGGATTAAGTTCATCTGCTTTTATCAACCTGGAAAAAAACACAATGTGTTTAATACATTCTTGCACGTTTGGAAAAAAAAATGTAAATCATATTAAAAATAAAAAAAATTAAAGAGATTTTATTTTTAGGCCGTATCGCCTAGCCCTTCTTCTCAGGTCCAAGAAACTTAAAACGACATGAAGCCTTACATACATAGTGCAAAATACGGGGGGGGTCCGGGGGGACTCGACCCCCCCCGATTAACCCATGAGCCCCCCTGAAAGCCTCAAAAGCTAAATTTAAGGGGGGTCTTAAATTGTGTCAAAAAAAGTTGAAATAAAATATTCTGGCTCCTTAGGAAGCCATTGCTCATATTTGCGTATTCCTTCTAAGTTATATACTATAAGCTTTCTTATGTATAATATTTGATACAGTCTTATTTTGAAAGCACCGGATGTTGAGCAGTTGGTGTCTTCCTGTTTAACGAGTAAACGCTGCATAGCTGAATCTGTTCTCTCTGTGCTGCGTTTTTGACCAGTACAGCATGTAATTTGATGTGAAGGGTGTATTTTGTTTATGTACATATAGTACTATGTTTCATGTTGTGTTTGGAGGATTATTGCAAGAAAGGTCACCGAGAAGAGAAGTTTAAAAAGACGCTAGCATACACGCTAACTAGCCGCTAGCCATGCCGCTAGCTAGCGGCTAATGTTAACATGTTGTTTGTGTCATTATGTGTTTCTGTACATATTCAGGGAATATGTTGAGTTTTTTAGGAGAATTGTGCCTGTTTACACAAAGACTTCTGCACATTATTTCTTTGTTGCAGTTTTACAATTCATTCATCCACCCATACCAGCCAATAAATCCAAAGAAAAGAGAAAAAGAAAAGAAAAAAACTTCATCCACCAAGCTGTCAGGAAGCTGAGCCCCCCTCATCACCTGCACTACTATTAATACTAGATTTATTTACTGTTCTTTTGCAATGTTACTGTTTCAAATGCTATATCTTACATAATTGGTAAT